AGACACCACCCCCACCACCCCCACGCACACGTCCAGCTGGGCCAGGGGGCAGTTGAGGTCGATCAGCTGCGTCACCGCCGAGTCGCCCAGGGCCACCGCCACCCTGCCAAAGGAGCACGAGCCCAGCTGGGCGCCGGTGGCGGCCAGTAGGTCCCACTAGGCCTGCAGGGCAGCAGGGGCCCACGTGCAGCACGTGGGGCGCTGCTTTCAAAGGCGGCGAGGCGGTGCAGAGGAGGGCTGGGGCGTGGTGGAGGCGAGCCTCGAGCCTGAGGCGAGCTGGCTCACAGGCAGGCGGCAGCAGCCGGGCCGACGGCAGCGGCAGATTTGGCAGCAGGCCGCCCCCGCCCAGCCCGCCAAATGCAAGCCGTGCTTCAGCCCACCGCTGCACTCACCGTTGTGTTCATGCTGCTCTGTCTGGCCCTGCTGGGGTCGGCGATGGGGCAGGCGCCCGCAGCGGGGAAGCGGGCGCGCAGGCCGAGCACCTTCAGGCCAGGCTTGGCCGTCGCCTGCGTCCCCACTCCGTCGCCGCCGCCTGCAGACAGCGCCATCCTGGCGGCGGCGGCTGTGCCGGGGGCGCTGCCGTGCGCCGCGGTGCGGAGGCGCTCCAGCAGCTGGCGAGCGGTGTCGAGGGCGGGGCGCAGCACCTCTGCCGCCGTCACCCTGAGCAGGTAGTCGACTGGAGACAGGGCAGCCTCTCTGCAGGCATACACAACAGGTTGGATGGTTTGCTAATCCTAATGTGTTTGGCTCTGGGTTGCCGGCTGAGGCAGTGATCTGGAGGTGACAAGGAGGCAGGCGTGGGCCACTCAAGCAACGAGCCTCCTTACATGGCGCCGAGCACTTGCACGGTGGCCCCGTAGGCCCAGCCCTCGGGGTGGGGCTCCATCTCTTTCAGGTTGGTGAGCTGCAGGTACCGCGTGGGCCCCGCCGCCTGGGGCGCCGCCACCACCGCCTGCACGCCGGCCTCTTCAGCAATCACCATCAGCTGGCCTGTATGTGGCATGGGGACGGCAGGCTCAGGGAAAGGTGCTCAGATGTGCAGCTTGCTGGGCCTTGGGAGCCCAGCTCTTTCAGGGCAAGGCACTGCTGCCTGGCAGGCCTGAGCAAACCCTGCTGCCCGGCCGCCTGTGCTGCCCAGCGGGGAGGCCGCCGGCGCATCAAGCCCCCTTCCCAGCCGGAGACAGGCAGAAAGCGGGATGAAGGCCTGGCAGCATGACTGTGCACTTGGAGTAGCAGGGCGGGAGGATCATTCGCACCAGTAAAGGACTGCAGGCCTACAGCATCGGGCACCAGCAGCCGAGTGGGCGCGGCACGCGCGCCGGCTGCCGCCGTTGCCAGCAGCACCAGGGCCCGCCAGAGCGCCACACGTGAATGAGTGACGTGGAGTCTTAGCCGTGTCATCGGGTACCTGCACGAGAAGTCAGCTGTGCAGCAACTCAGAGGGAAGCGGGCAGGTGCATGGTGGTGGGCCGGCTACCGGCGGGACGTCGCTGGCGGCGCCCCTCACCAAATGTGACTTGTCACCGTCGCCACTTTCAGGCTCCCTGGATGTTCAAGGATTCCACTGAAGCACGCATAACGGATAAGGGGAGCCGTGAAGGGGCTCACGGTAGCAGTCCTGTCCCGGAGTGACCGCCGCGGAAGGTCACGTGGAGCGCCCCTGTCGCGAACGATTAGCCGAGGTCAGTGAGACGCTCCGGAGGCAGCAGAGCTGTCGGTTTTTTTTCTGATGGCCGCGCGACGTGCCCCCGGATACCGCCGATTTGGAAATGTGCCTTGCACCGCCGCGGAGCACCAAACACACTGAAGTGGCGCAATATTGGTGGTTTACAGGTTGCACCGGGCTGCACCACGGCCCCTTCCTCCTGGTTGCCAGCTGAGCTGGCGGGCGTCCTTCACCGCGCCGCCGCCGCACGCGATGTGGCCGCTCAGTCTATGCACCCGGATCAACTCAAATCACGTTCACTTGCGTCCAAGACAGACCCACAGGTGATTTTCCAGTTTGCTGTGAAGCAGGAGGGCAGCACCGGCCTGCAGGGCCGCAGATCAGCTGCCACCCCCACACGCCGCCGCCGCCAAGCCGCTCTCTGTGCAGTCCAGTTCCTTGCATGGGCAAGCAGGCATGGGCGCAGCGATGCAAGCTATCCAAACAATGAGGGTCGCGGCTGCCTGCTGGCTGTGCCGCCCTCGGTCGCAGCCCCGGGGCAGCCACCCTCACAGGCGCAAGCTCACAGCATCAGTGCGTGCGCTGGATCTTGGCGGGGCCGCTGCTGGGCTGCTGCACATTGCTGCCCAGCACATTCTGCAGCTGCCGGCCAGCGGGCGTCACGCCGGGCGTCTTGGGCTGGGCCGCCGCTGCCGCCGCCGCCGCCGCGTCGCCGCCGCCGCCCTCCTGCTGCTCCTGCAGCGCCTTCCTGCTCTCCTCAAAGTACTGCAGTACATGGCAGTACATAGGGGACAGTGGGAGGAGGGAGAGAATGCCAGAATGGGCAGCTCAGTGAGCAGGCAAGGACTCCAGGACTGTCCCTGCCCGGCAACACTTACACACACATACACAAACGCCGCAGCAAACTCCAGCACCTACCCACCCAAGCCACCACCCGGCGCCAGCCCACCTGGTTGGGGTGGTTGATCCCGGAGTCGCAGCTGCAGCCATGCTTGCCCTCCCAGGCCGCCGCGCAGGCCAGCTGGTAGTGCCCCGCCGCCGCCTTGCCCACCGCCTCCTCTATCTTAGCGGGCGACACCTGCAGGCGCCCCAGCGCGCTGCGCAGGCTCTGCTGGTTGAAGGTGCGGTACGGGCAGCCGTGCACCTGGTCCTGCAGGCAGACATGGGGGCAGGGGCAGACGGGCAGGCGAGTCGAGCTGCAATTGAGCGGACGCCAATGGCATATTCCGCGGAAAGGCAACACGCGGCAGGGCTGCCCCCAAACACACCGACCCTGCCCGTCCCGTGCATGCCCTAGCCCTCCCGTGCACCCCCGCAGCAGCCCTGCCCAGCCTTCCCTCTGCCGACACACGCACGCACGCACGCATGCATGCCCGTCCCGTGCCCAGGTGCGGCAGGCTCACCACGCCGGGGATGGAGGAGACGATCTTGGCGCAGGTGTAGGGCGTATAGTCGGTGCGCTTCCCTTCCTTGCCGTAGCTATGCTTGATGCCGTACTCGTACTCCTTTGTGAACTTCTCGGTGGGGGTCACCTGCAGTACCACGTGAGGCATGGTGGTGGTACCGTTTCAGTTGCGGGGACGCGGTGTGTAGATGTGGGACTGGGCACCTGGCTGCAAGCCGGCGGGTTCAACCAAAGACGGCATGGCGCAAGCAGGCACGGCCGGCTCTGGCAACCAGCAACCAGCCTGCTGCTTGCGGCGAGGGCCCAGCAGCTTAGCGGCGCCTCACCGGCGCCATTTCGGTGCGCCAGAAGTGCAGCGCTTGATCCAGAGGCAGCCCGATGCCCTGCGCGGCAGGGGAGCAAGCGGCAGTGGCTGTTGATTAGGTGCTGGTGTGTGCATCTGCATTTGGCACATGTGTGGAGAAGGAGGAGGGCGACGCGGGGCAGAACACAGCACACAGGCCAGCCCCGCTTAAGCAGCGCGGGATGGACCAATCCAAAGATCAGCGGGGATGCCCGTGGGGCAATTGCCAGCGCCTGTCACACAAACCCCCTTTGCCACCTACACACACAAACACACACACTGCCCCCCACCACGCCCAACCCCACACAAACCTTGAGGAACAGTCTAAACTGCAGCCGCCCGTCGTGCTTGAGGTGGTGCTTTTCGTGCAGCGCATCATACATGGTTGCCATGCACAGCGGGAAGGACTCGCGGGCCAGCCTGGGGATGTCGGCGGCTGCAGCAGAAGAAAAGCGACGTGTTGTTGCAGTTGGTGGTGGTGGTGGTGGTGGGCATGGCGGAGGCACGCGAGCCAGGGGGCGTGCGGGGCGTGGCATGACAGGGGGAGCCAGCGAGGCACGTGGCAGGGAGCACGCTGGGTGGTGCCATTTTGCCCCGATGCACGTGCAGGCCCCTCACACCACCCACAGACACACACGCACCCACGCACACACACCGCCACCCACGCCGCGGCCCGGCCGCAGGCAGCTCACCCTTGGGGCGCTTGTCGTCATCCACCTCCCGGTTTGAAAAGTCGGGGCCCAGGTAGCGCCTGCTGAGGCTCTGCACCATGGGAGCCAGCCGGTCGGCCTCCCCCGGCGCTACCACCACCTCCCAGCGCCGCGCCGTCACCGTCAGCGCCTTGCTGAGCGCAGCCCTGCGGCGAGGCGTGCGCCAGCGTGTGTGTGCGTCAGAGTGTGTTTCAGTGGGTGCATGCGTGTGGGTGGGCGCAAGAGCGTCGCAACCAGGGCGACGATTCCACGGCCAGCGGCGGCAGGGCGCGGCAGCAGGGCACGGGGCGGGCATGAGGGCAGCGATGCACGGCCCGTGCCTGCCCTACCCCGTGCAGACACAGCCTGCCCTTCCCCCCGACACACACGCAGGGCGAGCAGCCTGCCACATGCCCTGGGACCCCACCTAAAGGGCTGTATCACCAGTGAGCTCATCTGGTCCCGGGACACATAGGCAAAGCCCGCCTGCGCAGCAGGAGCGCCAGGAAGCACGGCGGCGACACGAGTGGGCGCCGCGCGCGCACAAGAAGCAGAGCACAGCCAGGGAGCATGGCTGCGCAGGCGCCAGCGGCAGGGCAGGGCCCAGAGGCGCGGAAGGGGATGTTCCGATTCGTGCCTGCCTGAGCCAGGGGCAGGCTTGGGCGGCGGCACCATGGGGCAGCGCCACGCGGCCGCGTCCCCACTGCCACCACCGCCACGCCACCGCCGACACACCACCGACCGCCGCTCCTCTCCCCCCCACCCGCCCACCCACCTGCAGGTACACCCTCCGGCTGGCCACCAGGTCTGGCACCTGCTCAAAGGGCACCTTGTAGAAGCTGTCGGCGGTCACCATGCCCGCCGTCGCCTTGACCCCGGGCAGGCTCATCAGCACCTGCAGCAGCTTCTCCCGCAGCTCCTCACTAAACTCCTGCGGCCTGCACAGGGCAGGGCAGGGCGGGGAGGGTAGGGCAGGTCAGGTCGAGTGACGGGCTAGAGAAGGAGGGGTCAGAAAAAATAGGGGGCGGAAGCCATTAGCTGAGGGCGCGGCTGGGCTCAGGATGCGGGGCGATGGAGTGTGGGGGGAGATGGTGTGGGAGGGGGGCATTGCATAGGGAGGCGGTGCAAAGGGGAGCGCGCAGAGTGGCGGGTGTGGGCGCGCGCCAGCGAGATGCGGCGTCAAGAGGGCGAGAGAGGGACTTCGCACGCTGCGTGCTTACTCTATAGGGGCTGGAAGGAGAGCTCGTTGGTCTTGATGAAGGTGCGCTGCGGGGCAGGAGGAGGAGGGACGGCGCGCGGGGCAAAGGAGGTGCAGGAGGTGAAGGGAGGGGGTGCAGGGGCCGGGAGCCATGGGCCAGCAGCCACGCAGCAGCCACGGCCTGGCGCGCTCTGCAGCTTCCCCGCATGGCACCCCATGCACGGTCCACAGTGTGCATGGATTCGTGCGCCCTGTCTCCAGCCGTCCAAGCCAGCCGCCCCACTCAGCCATCCAGCTCCTCTCTACCACACAAGTCCACCCCCGATTCAGCCGCCCCACACCTGCTCGTCAGCTAGCATCTGATTGAAGCGGGCGCGGAAGAGGTCGCACTCTTGGGCCAGCAGCCAGCGCCGCAGATCATCTGGAGGGAAGGGGGCGCAAGGCAGAGGCGGCAAGGAGGGCGCAGTCGGCGGCTCCAAACAACAGGCGAGGCAGGCAGGCATCCAGCCAGAACAAGCAGGCAAGCAAGCCAGCAAGGCAGGAAGCAAGCGGACAGGCCCGCACCTGTGCTGCAGTAGGCCAGGCGCAGCACAAAGTGGGAGATGATGTCCTTGCGGTGCCGCTCCTCGCTGGTGGCGCCCCCCATGTGCTGCTCATACAGCTCCAGAATCTTGGGCTGCACCAGCAGGGCAGTGGGGGGCAGCCGCCGATGTGCAGCCAGGTGACGGGGAGCCGCCGCAAGCTGAGGGGCGGCACGCTGGGCAGCGCGCCACGCAATAGGCAAGTGCGCAGCCACGGCAATAGGCGTGCACCGGCCGCCTCGGTGCCAGCAGCGCAGGCACCCCCACCTCCATCTGATCGAATCGGAAGCCCTTGACCTTCAGGTCCTCAATGCCCTTGAGCACTGCGGCAGCAGGGGGTGGATCCAGCGGGTTGGCCTGGACGCAGGCACGGCGCTGCGGCGGCAAGGCGCGCAGTGCAATGCCGCAGCTGGACCGGACGCGGATCGAGGCGTCGGATGCTGCAAGGGGAAGCAGGCCTCGGTCGGCACTCACCACGCAGGCGGTCCATGGCAAACCGCTCAAACTCCTCAATGGCAATCTCGCCGTCGGGCAGTGCGCGGTACATGGAGAGCGCCGGCTTGGAGCGGTGCGCCTTGGCCGGCTGCGCCCCCGCCAGCACCTTGGGCACGCCCACGGCGCCCGCCGACAGGAAGGTGGTCATGGCGGGCCCCGCTGCTGCTGCTGCTGCTGCTTTGGCTCCTGTCGCCGCTGCCGCACTCTGCGCCAGCTGCAACCAGGCCGCCTCCCCGACGCTCCTGCTGCGTTCTTGGGACTTGTCGATCAGCCTAGCCTGTGGCGGTTGCGTGGAGAGCAAGAGGAGGGCCGGGACGATTTGAACGGCTCGCCTGGCAACCGATCGAAGGCTCGGGGGGAGGGGCTGGCGTTGCCGGAGCGGACCTCAGGCGATCGTGGCACCAATGCAGCGCTTGCCGTTTGGCCTCGCTCCGAGCCACCCGCGCGTTGCTGGCAGGCAGCAGGCACCGCACGACCGACTGTTTCGGGCCGCAGCACGCCCTCAAGGTCCATTTCTGCGTTCTAACCAGCTGCAATATGTATTCTCCGCATCCTCCGGCCTGAGCACGCTGCTTTTCGCGGCAGAGGCAGGCCGAAGTCTCGCGGGGCAGCCATGGGGCTGAAGGAGCGAATGGCGGCTGCCTTGTCGGGCTCGAGCTGGGCCGGCGCGCCCACACCCCAGCCTCAGGCCCCTCAGCTGGCGCACGAGTCGCCGCCGTCGCCGGAAGCGCCTCAGCCGGCGGCGCCCGCGCCTGCAGCCCGGGCCCAGCCCTCCGGCAGCCAGCAGCGGCCTGAGGCCAGCAGCCGTCCCTCGGGCAACTCCAGCCTCCTCGCCAAGATCGCTTTTGCCAAGGAAGTCAACGAGCGGTATCGAGTGCCGGCCGTCAGCCAGGCCGACCTGCTGCAGCCCTCGCAGCGCCACCAGCGCCAGCCGATCAATGGCAGGCTCGTGGCTTTTGGGACAGCGCCTCCCGCAGCCAACACGAGCGCCACTTCGTACCACGCCGACACTTCTCAGCAGCACCAGCAGCAGCAGCTTCAGCCGCAGCACCCAGCGCCCGCAGGGCAGCCGACCACGCAGGCGGCTGCGTCCCGACACGACGGTATCGACAGGGCAGCGGCCCGCGCCACAGTGGTGCTGTCTGCCTCCCAGGACGACTTTGAGTTCGACGCGAGCGAGGCGCTGCGCAAGGCAGGCGCAGGCGCCGGCGGAGGCGGCGCCGCTGGCGCCAGGCGGGCGCCCGCCGAGGCACGGCCTGCCACCCAGCTGCAGCAGCAGCAGCAGCAGCAGCTGGCAAACGAGCTCGACGATTTGCTGCCCAGCGGCAGCCAGCGCGCAGCGGCCAAGCCGCGGGGCAAGCGCGGCGGCACGGCCACCACGCCCGGCGCGCCCCGTCGCAAAGCCGCTGCAGGCGGCCTCGGCGGCGGCCGAGCCAACGGCAAGTCTGGCGGCGGAGGCAAGGGCAGCGGCAAGGGCCAGGCCCGACGCAAAGCGGCGGCACCAAAGCGGAATCGCGAGGAGCCTTCACGTGGGTGCTCTGGCTGTCTGTGGGTGCTCTGGCGCTGCAGCCCTGGGTCCGCCCCACGCTGGGTGCTTGCCTACTCGCTGCCCTGCGCCCCACCCCTCTCTGCAAGCATCTGTGCTCGCCCTTGCCCCTGCGCCTCGCCTTGCAGAGGATGATGGGGAGGAGGGGAGTGGGATGGAGGACGGCGGCCTGGCAGACCTGCTGCTGCTGCCGCCCGAGGAGCCGGCGGCAGGCCGGGCAGCGGCGGCGCCAGCAGCGGCGGCAGAGGCGCAGCAGGAGCGGCGGGCGCCCGGCAATGCGCCCTTGGACGGCCCTAACGAGGAGCTGCGCTTGGCGGTGGGCGAGGATGGGGAGCCCTGGCCAGAGGATGCTCAGGGTGAGGCTGCCCGGGGGGTCACTCAGCAGCAGCCCCGTGCCCACCTTGCTGCCTGGCACCCCGCCCGCATCTGCAGCACAGCGCCGCTGCCGCGCCCCCTCGCCTTCCCGACCATCGCGCCCCTTCACAGCTACCCCGTACGCTCCTGCCCGCCCGCCCATGCGTGCAGAGGAGGCTTACCTGAACTTTGCCGTCCCCGCCAGCATCAACCGCTTCTTGCGCTCCTACCAGCGCGACGGCATCAGGTTCCTCATGAGGTGGGCCGCTGTCCACCTCAGCTTTCTGAAGGCGGGCGCCTCTGCAGATGTGCAGCTCCCCGCCCGCCCTGCGCTGACTCTGACGTGTTGCACAGCATACACTGGCCTGTCACATTCATCTAAGCTGCATGCTTCGCCCGCTGCGCGGCCACCCCTGGTGCAGGCAGTACGCCCGCGGTACCGGCGGAATCCTTGGGGACGATATGGGGCTCGGCAAGCCCCTGCTGCCCTTTCGCAGCTACAAGCAGACCCACTTGGCAGGCAGCCGGGCTGGTCAGAGCTCTGCAGCCGCGCTCATGCGGCCACCTTGCCCGCCGCGCCGCGCGTGCAGGCAAGACGGTGCAGGCAATCGGGTTCATCGCTGCGGTACTGGGCAAGACGGGCGACCTCGACGATGCGCACCTGCCAGAGCTGCAGGTGGGCTGTGCGTGCTGGGGCTCTCTCCCCTGGCAACCGCACCCTACCCTTTCCCGGCTGGCTGTGCCCTCGGGCGGGACAGGGGAGGGGTAGTGCTTGGGGTTGGCAGGGGCGGCAGCGCGCTTGAATGCCGCGGGGGGCGCATGCTTGAGTCCTGCGGCTGCAGTCAGCGGCCAGCAGCATCGTGGGGGCTCGTGCCTGGCCTCCCTTGCCTTGCCGACGCGCCCACTGCCGGGACACTGCTGGTTCTCGACGCAGTTGGCCAGCCTAGCGCGCTGCTCACGCTGGTACAACGTCTTGTTGGCCGCTCCTTTGGGGCACCGCCTGCAGCCGCTGCGCAAGATCGAGCCTCTGCCAGATAGCGAGGGAGAGACGCAGTGGGGCCTTGTGAACGACGATGCGTATGCTCCCGACTACAGCACCTGCTATCCCGTCCTGGTGGTGGCGCCCACCTCTGTGCTGGAGAACTGGGAGAGGGAGTTCGACATGTGGGGCAAGTTCAGGCAAGCGGGTGGGCGTGGAAGGGAGGTATTGTTGGCATACCGTCGGCTGCCTGGCCCGCGCGGCGGCTGGCCTGTGTTCTCAGTGTGCAGGAGGCGGGCGGGCGCCTCGCTCCCGAGGGTGCAGCGGTGCAGCAGAGCGGCGGCCAACTGGCTGCGCGTGCCGCGGGGCGGCGCGTCACGCCGGCGATGCACGCTGCAGCTTGGCAGTGCCCGCTCGTCTCCCCTGCCGCCGTCGACCCCTGCCCCACCTCCCTGCCGCCGTGTGCAGGGTGGCTGTGTGCAAGAGCAAGCAGCGCGACGCGTCCATCGCCGCCATCAGGGCGGGGCAGAAGGAAATCATGATCGTATCCTACAACATGCTCCTGTGAGGCGCGGCTGGCAGCGGGAGCGATGGAGGCGGGGCACAGGCCGGGACAGAGAGGCGTTCTCGGCGCTGCGCGCCCACACACGGTGCCCCGCCCCCATCCCGCCAAGCCATCCACGGCCCGGCCGCGCACTGACCCTGCCGCCGCTGCCTACGCACCTGCGCCTGCCCGCCCGCAGCGGCGACCCGGGCGAGGAGCTGCTGACCATCCCCTGGCACATGGCGCTGTTCGATGAGGCTCACTTCCTGAAGAACAGCCTCACCAAGGTGCGGCGGGTGCCTGGTTGGCCTGCCTGTGGCAGGCTGCAGAGGCCGGGGCACTTGCAGCCACTTGGGTTCGCCGTTTGCGAGATCGGGCAGGCGCCCCTGCCTGCTGGGGGCGCCTGCAGCGCCTGCAGCATGTCCCTGCGTGGCCTGCCTGGCCCTCTGGTGAGTGCCGACCAGTGGCGGCGGCCGCCCCGCGCCGTCTCTCCTGCCCCGCAGAGATACATGCTCGGGTCTCGCCTGCCCACGCGCCTGCGCTATGGCCTGACGGGCACCCCCTTCCAAAACGACTATGCCGAGATCTGGGCGGTGATGAACTTCATGGCGCCAGGTGAGCACGGCTTGCAAGACAGCCAAGCAATTGCTTGCTTGTCATCTTTTGTTCCCCTTCAAGAAGGGAAGGGGCGAGGCTTCTGTGGAGGCAGGCAGGCCGAGTCGGTTGTGGGGGCATGGGGGGAGGGGTGGTTTCGAGAAGTGCAGGGCTGCATGCGGCAGGGCAGCACGCACAGCGGCCACCGTGCGACGCCGCTGGGCTGATGCCGCCGCACGCCGCTTCTCCTCCCTCCCGCTGTGTCTTGCAACTGCAGGCTGCCTGGGCGAACGCAAGGAGTACATGGATGGGACAGCCCGCCCCATCATGAGAGGCCAGCAGGCCAGCTCCAGCGACAACGCCAAGGCGGTGGTGAGCCCAGCCGCCGGCGCCACATTGCTGCTTCCTTCTCATGCCCTTATCTTGCGTGGCGGGAAGCACGGGTGGTGCCGGGGAGCAGCTGCAGGCAGCGGCGCCCTTGGTTCCTCGCAGCAGCGCCGGAGCGAGCGCAGGGCGGGCGGGCCGTGGCTGCCGCACACAAGCTGCCCCCCGCCCGGCCGGCCGCGTGATGCAGGGTGCCGAGGCGCAGCACGAGCTGCGTGCTGTGCTGGCAAGGTACATGCTGCGCCGCACCAAGAAGCTCATCGCTGACCAGGTTGGGTGGGTGTGGCGGAGCGGCGGCGGTGGCTTCTGGCGTGGCTGCCCTCCCTCCAGTGCTGAGCTGCTTTCACTTTGCCCCTGCTGGCACCCCAGCCCAGCCCGCCATGATCCGTGCGCCTGCCTGTCTGCCTGCCCTCATCCTGTCGCCTCGCTTTCTTCCTTCCGTTTCTTTCTTCCCTGCCGCAGATGCCCAAGAAGATGGACTATGCGGTGTTCTGCGAGCTCAGCCCGCTGCAGCTGGCGGCCTACAAGTGAGGGCTCCCCAGCAGGGCCAGCGTGACGAGCTGCTGAGCCATCTGGGGCCAGCAGAGGGCTGGCTCTTCCGCTGCCCTTTGGCTCCCGCCCGCTCTGCCGCCTGCCCGCCGGCTGCCTGGCCCACCAACCAGCCAAACCCTCCGCCTGATCCTTGCATGCGCTGCCCACAGTCACTCTGAACATAAGCTGGGCACCGCCTCCCCGGCCTGCAGGCGCCTGCTGGAGTCCCCAGATGTGGAGCTGCTGCTCAACCACCGCGAGCCCTGCCTGGAGTGCGGCAGCGGCGAGCCGTACTACAAGTGCTGCGGGTGGAAGGTGGAGGAGGAGCGGGGGGGCGTGCTGTGGCCTATGTACCACTGCTGCGAGTGCGACGACGCATACGACAAGGACTACAACCCCAAAGGTGGGCCGGGGTGTGTGGTGGAATGGTGGGCTGGTGCGCGCAGGCGTGTGTGGTCGTGTGTGTGATGTGGTGGGGAGGGAGTGGGGGGGATGGCGCTGCTAGCATGGGGAGATCAGGTCCGCTTCGCTCAGCGCCACCTCGGCTGCTCAGCTGCAGTGCATGGGCGTCAGACGGCATGGCCATCTCTGAGCTGCCAGGCTCTCGCAGGCTGTTGCCTCTGCCTGATCACACCTTGCCGTGCACCCTCCTCCCCTCCACACGCTGCAGGGTGCAGGAACCACAAGCCCGATGGCTGCTGGCAATATACCCCGTTTGGATACAGAAGGATGTGTCCCTTCTGTTTAATATTGCCCTGCTGCTCCATCCTGCGCAAGATAAGGCGAGCAGGCAGCACCCGGCCCTGCGCTGCAGCCCATACCTTCACTCTCTTGTGGCTCTGCTTGTGCTCACACGTCAGCCAGCTTCCTGCGTACTCTGGGGAATTGCCCTTCTGCCCCCACCGAACGCCCTGTGCCTCCTGCACTGACTGCACTGTGCCTCCGCCCGCCTCTGCAGCAACCACCTGGAGCTGGTCAAGGCGCAGCACGAGGACGAGATCAAGGACCCGCGCAAGTTCAAAAAGGCGCTGCAGATTGCGGAGCTGGTGGGCCGCCCGCGTCATACCACACACACCAGCAGCTGCAGTGTGCACCAGCTGTAGTTGTCAATGGGTGGTCGGTTGTTCAGCGCCAGAGGGTGACCCATCTCCTCTGCAATGCTGGCTGCCGTCCTGCTCCCCTCCTCTGCAGGTGATTGGGGAGGACAGCGCGGCGCTGGGCGGGTACGTGACGAGCGAGGAGTTCATTCGCCTCAGCGACACCAGTACCTGCGGCAAGATGGAGGCGAGCTGCGCTGCGCTACGCTACGCTGCGCTGTGCTGTGCGTTGCTCGAATGTGCGCAGCTGCTTCCTGACAGCTGGATCCGTGTCATGCTTCACATCACGGTGTCCACCCGTCTGGCACGCCTGCCTTGAGGAGAGCATTCCGCCTGCGCCTGTTCATCTCCTGACCGGCGGTGCTTACCCAGCTGCTTCCCTGCAGGCGCTGGACGCCCTGCTGAAGACCTGGCGCGACGCTGGCAGCAACAAAGTCCTGCTGTTCAGCAACAGCGTGCAGGTCTGTGGCTTCGATCTGCCGGGGCCCGCAGGCCGGCGCCACGCTGCTGTGTTGGTTTGCTTCCTGCCGCCGCAATTTGCACCCCGGTTGCGCTGCAGCAAGTGCTCGGCATGCATCCTGCCCTGAACCTGCCATGGCCCGACGCGGCTGTACCGCCGTGGCCGCCACCGTGCCGACGTGTACCGCCTGCGAAACCGCCCGCAGACGCTGAACATCCTCAAGGCCATGGTTACAGCCAGCGGCTATGATTACATCATGCTGGACGGCAGCGTACCACAGGCGGTACGCTGGGCTGCACACTGCATGTATAGCCTGGTGTGCCGGCTGCACGAGACGCAGCGCCCGCTGCGGCGTCGCCAAGCCAGCCTTTTGTGCCTCGCCGCTCCTACGCCATTCCCCCTCCACCTCTTTCCCTGCTCGTGCTCCTGCTGCACCACTCGCTGCCCTGCTCCCTTCTCTGCTGCAGGAGCGCCAGACATTGTGCGACAAGTTCAACACGCAGGTCAGCCGGAGGGGCGGGGCCTTCCCGGCAGCGCATGCGCCGCCTCCACAGCAACAGCAGCAGCAGTGGCGGCACACGCGTTTGCTGCTTCCTGCAATGCGGCGACGCCCATCCCCACATCACCGCCACTCACACACACATACACACACACACACACACTCACACACACACGCACACGCATGCCACTTCTGCCCCGCTCATGCAGCCCTCCACCTTCATCTTCCTCATCTCCACGCTGGCGGGCGGCGTGGGCCTCAACCTCACTGCCGCCAACAAGGTGGTCATCTTCGACCCCAGCTGGAACCCCGCCATGGACCTGCGTGAGTCCTTCACCCTCTGCCTGCTTCGTTCACTGGACCCGCATCAGCCCCTGCCTCCCGCTGCCAATGCTCCCTCCTGCCGCCTGCACTCGTGGGCCCCCCATGCTGCCCTGTTGCAAAGAACAGCGCCGCCGTCGCTGTGTGCCCTGCCCTCTCCACCACCGATGGTCCCCCTGATGCTGATTATGATGCTTCTGCTGCCTGGTGCTGCTGCAGAGGCCCAGGACCGCGCCTTCCGCATTGGCCAGAAGCGGGACGTGAGCGTGTACCGCCTCATCGCTGCAGGTGCGCCTGTTGGCTGCTTAGAAGGCGGCCCTTGCTTGCTGCTCTTGCGCTCTGTTGGCTGCTGCCTGGACCTTCATGCCAAAGAGTCGAACTGGGCAGCAGTACCTCAAGCGGGGAATAGGTCTGCCTGGGGCAGCCTTCAGTTAACCAAATGGCAGTACTGCTCGCTATGTGGTGCCGCAGGCACCATGGAGGAGATCATCTACGACCGCCAGCTGTACAAGCAGATGCACAGCGAGATTGTGCTGGAGGGCAACACGGCGATGCCGCGCACGTTTGAGGGTGAGGCCGGGTGCAGCCCCTGGAGCCAGGCTTCGCCTCTGCTCACAGCCAGCAGCTTCGCCACCGCCACACCGCACACCACACCATGCACATCACCACAAAGTGCAGCACAGTCAGCACACACACCGGTACCACCACGGTACCATCCCTGCCACACACACGCAGCACAGCACCCCTGCCCCTCCTCCCCGTCGCCGCAGGCGCCAAGACGGGCAACCGCGAGGACCACGGCGAGCTGTTTGGCATGCTCAACCTGCTGAAGCACAACAAAGAGAAGATCCTCACCCTGGAGTACATAGAAAACGAGCGGCGGCGGCGCGCCCGCGGCGACCGCGACCGGGACGGGTACCGCATCGAAGCCTACGACCCCGATGCTGAGGCCCGGGAGGCGGCCGCCGCCGCTGCGCTGCCCCGCGCGCGGCGTGGCGGCGCTGAAGTGGCCGACGGCGAGGATGCAGGCCTGCAGGTGGGGGCCCGGAAGGCGGGCTGGCAGCCGGTGTGTTTCCTGGTTGCGTGGATGGGGCGTGGATGGGGTTCCCGCCCCTGACTTGGGCGTGGATTTGGGGCACTGCGGAGTCACGCAGCACAGGCGCAAAGCAGCAGCTCTGCTCAGTGGTGGCCGCCGCGTGCCTCCTGCCGCGTCAACACCCCCTGCACCCGCGCCTGGCCCTCCCCGCGCCTCCCCTGCCCCTCTGCAGGCGCTGGTGGCGGCGGAACTTGGCATCCTTCCAGAGGAGGCAGAGGCGCAGCCGCGCGGCGGCAGCCCCAGCCAGGACGGCGCCGGCGGCGGCGAGCGGCAGGCTGCGGCCTCGGGAGGGCTGCTGGCGGCAGAGCAGGAGGGGGAGGAGCGGTGGGAGGAGCACCGTGCGGAGACAGAACTGCTGGCCAAGGCTGGGGTCACAGGTGGGGGTCGCCGGCCGCTGCCTTGGCTCCGCTGGCTGGCAGGGCTGGCTGCCTGGGCTGCCTGCCTGCTGGCCAGTGCGGCTGCTGCGTGCGGTCGCCGGCGGCCAGAGCTGGCTGCCGGCTCCCCGGGAAGCGGTTGTGTGTGTGGGCATGGCTGTGGCCCTGCCTGCGCGTCCCTCACCTGCATTGCTGGCTCTCCGTACAGGCATGCTGCAGCACAACCTGGTCTTCAAGCCCAGCGCGGCAGAGGCGGCTGCCACACGGGCGGCTGAGGATGCGGTGGAGGCAGAGTGCGTGGGCAGCCGCCGGCCGCGGGAGCAGCCAGAGCGCCTGCCCGTGTAGCCCTGCTTGCGGGCACCGCTCCCGCTCAGGCTTCGCCGCGTGCCGGCGCCGACGTGCTGCACGCCGCCGCTGCCCTGGCGCCGTGCAGGGCCCAGCGCAAGCAGGGAGGCCTGGCGGAGGAGGCGGTGAGGATGGCGGGCAAGCGGCAGCGCACGCAGCGCGCGCAGCGCACGCGGCCGGAGCAGGTGGCGTGCGGCGGCGGCGGGCGGGTGCAGGCCCGGGTCCTGCCCCTGCTGGAGTCGGTGGCGGAGGCCCTGGGGCAGCCGGCGGAGGTGGCGGCGCGCCGCCTGCTGGACCTGCAGCCAGAGGCGCGGCGCGAGCTGCGCCGGGCGCTGGCGCGCGGCGACGACCCACCCCTGGCGCTGCCCACCGACGGCGCGCGGCAGGCGGGGGACTGCTCGGGCCGCGCCGCGCACGCCGGCCAGGACGAGCCGCAGAACCCCTAGCAGGGCCGGTCTTGGCAGCCGCCGCATTCACCTCATGCCCGCTCTTTCTCATGACCAGCCGCGCTGGCGTTTTGCCTTGTACAGCCCTGGATTTCATGCACATTTCTAAACCTTTACCTCGTCACTACGCCTGATTGCGCTGTTTACGTACCCCAGCTTTCCTTACATCGGCGCCTTTGGTGTATACAAGAGGCCCTCTTACCGCACCGGGTCCGCGGCGGCGGGCGCCCCGTCAGCGCTGAAGAAAGCATGAGGCCTCCTCCTGAACTCCTGGGCTATCATTTCTTCTTACCGCTTCGTTGTGGCAGCTACGCAGCATGCAGGGCCTGCAGCAGGCGCTCCAGGCCGTGCGTGAGGCGGGCTGGGCGGACGTGGTGGCTGAGGCCTCTGTGCAGCGAGCCGCCGCTGCCTTCACAGGCCACCCGGCGTTCAGGAGCTGCCCTGAGGGCGTGCGCAGGCAGGGTTTGGCTCGCTGCTCTCTGCTTGTGTGTGTGGTAGTCCGACCTGCCTCTTCCCCTCCTTCAGCCTGCCAAACACCTGTGCTCGACCGTGTGCCCTGCTGCAGGGAGCTGGAGCAGCTGAGCAGGCGCCCAGAGCAGAGCGCCGGGCCTCGCCGCCAGCGTGAGGCAGCAGCGGCAGCACCAGTTGCGGCTCTGCGCCTGTTCCCCCAGCTGGCGGCAGTGCTGGAGGCGCTGGAGGGCGCTGGGGCGGAGCAGGCAGCTCCAGCAGCCTGCGCCCTGTGCACAGAAGTGCTGGCTTTAGGAGGCCGCGCAGGGGCTGGCAGCGCTGCCCAGCTGCGCCTGCTGCTAGAGGCCAGCGACGGCGCGCTGCGCCTGCTGCCGCTGCTGCTGAAGCAGCAGCTCAGCACACAGGCGGGCGACGAGCGTCGAACGCTGGCTGGGCAGTGCCTAAGTGTGTTTGCCTGGGCGCACGGGCTGGTGGTTTCCTCCTGGGCCAGTGAAGCCGCCCAGCCTGATACTCTTTGCTTGTGCTTGCTTGTGTGGGCTTAAAGTCTGGTAAAGCAAGAACTAGCTTGCAACATAGACTC